CCACCAGCCAAATCTAACACCCTCTTTCGAAAAGGTTACTTATCGTACGTTACGCGAGATATTGGATTGTGGAGCGACTGAGTCGCAGTTATCCGAACCCAACACCATCTTTGCAGATTTTTGGTAGCGAATGAATACTTGACTGCAATCCACATCACATTTTTATAGTAGTTACCAGATTATTCATCCATATCAGCAGATTTTTGATGATGCTTTAAACGAATGCCTTGCATTCATCTTTTTAACATATACTAATCATTACTGCGTTGTGAAGTTGTTTACTTCTTTTAAGCTGGATGTAGGTGCTGTTTACATGATTTCTACACAAATCATTTAATATCATACCAAATAAATATTTTTATACGACTCAAAACAATATAAGCTCTGCATTAATATTAAATAATACAACGTAAACTATGCTTTTAAACATCACAAGCACCTAATTTTGCATAAATTAAAAATTAAATAATTTTTGTAATGATTATCATACGTATAAATCATGATGAATAAGGTTTAGTTGAAATCATATATTCATGTACTATTAAAAATCTGCGAAGATTGAGTCACCGATGGAGCATATAATGCTGGATATTGTTATAAACACCAATTGGAGTTGAAAGGTGGAACACAAGGCATTCTCATATTGTTAAAAATAGAGATGGGATCCATCTATTCGTTCAGATAAAATTGAGCTTATCCGTATTTCCGTGACTTACTCCGACAGATATTTGGATAAACCGGATAAAGGAATGTTATAGGAATGATATAGATAGTGTAATAATAACCCGGAAACGCCAGTTGTTTATGTGATAATCATTAAATAATTGCAAATTATTAAGAACAAAAAACAAAAAATTATATGTGAAAGAATGCGCTACTACTTTATTTGTATTAAAATTTTCTATTAGCTAATTGTCTGGAGAGAAGCGAGCGACAGACTTATACTTCTACACCCTTTGATGACTAAATTACGTTTTTGATACTTTTATAGTAAAAGTATCAAAAACGTAGTTTTAGTATTTTCCGAATGTAGAACACTGAAAATTTGGTATACGACATACATAACAAGATTTTTCAGGCTGGGCGAGCTCCAGACTTATACCGTTTTCTGGTTCCTAGTATTAAAATCTTATAGTTAGGCTTAATTAATAAAATTAAAAAATTTATAGTATAGATTGATAAAATTAGTGAAGTAGTAAAAGGTGTAAATAGATTCAATTTATAGTAAATTTATTTCACAAGTTGTAGAAAGTACATAGGCTACTACAGCTTACCTTCAATAAAGAGCAGCATAGAGTTCAATAACTCGAATTGAGTTCAAATTATATGAACAAATAAAAGTGTTTCGTTCCTAAATCCCCGATTAATAAAGAGTCTGAATGACATATAGTAAACTTGTGACTTTATTATTGGAGAGCTCGTGATATAATCTAGAGTTCTAATAGCCCTGATTACTCGAACCGCCACTATTATTCCGGTAGGACCATAAAAGGTGTACCGATCAGTTCCCAAAGTTGTAACGTGAAAATCACGCTTTTTTTTGAAAATACATTTTTTGTAGTAAAAAAAAAAAAGAATCATTGCAGATTTTGGTATATTACAACCATAACCCTAACCCTAACGTAATATTTTAATACTTAAAACATTGTATATGTTATGACTGTGATAAATCCGATTTGTGTTGATTATACAAAGTGTATTCCGGGGGTAGCCAGAATTTAGTGTAGATTTTGTGGCTTAGTAAGTTATTGTTGCGCGCCCCATTTACACTCGGGAGTATAACGATGGTACTATTATAGAATAAAAAGCGAAGTCCTAAAATCCCGAATTGAAAAAACAACAAACTGTTTGGAATTGGAACTTAGATCTTTTAGAACTTTATTTGAAATTGTAATTTCGTACTGGACTATTGATAAAAGATATTAAACAGTTTCAGGATCTGGTCATTTCCCATCCCTAACTCCAAGCTAATAACCGTAGTACTAAATGTAAGTGATTTAAATAAATGGTCTAAGCTGCAGTAAATGCACATAGTTGTATACTTATACGCATGTCATTTATTAATTAATGAATTAAAACAAAAAAAGTGCATGCATATGTGCATATGCAAGTTATTTAAAACAAATTAAAATTCTAAGAATAAATTAAATTTTTTTCTAATTTTGTAGTGTATATTATTCATTTGAACAAGTCAGCGAGATTATTGATTAGGATTTATACATTCATTGTTGAAGCTGCTCGCAGGATCGCAACCTTCTCCACAATAATCATCCGAACTTCCTATATACAGTATTTGCAATTAATAATCTTTAGGTGTGGATTTTTTTTTAAAGTTTATATTTGATAACATACCACAAAATTTAAATTTACTACAACAAGGATAATCGGCAGTACATACAACACCTCCACAAGTGTTGTCAGTGTTATCAGTGTTATCGGTGCTATCGGTGTTATCGGTGTTATCGGTGTTATAGGTGTTATCGGTGCCATCGGTGTTATCCGCGTTATCGGTGTTATCGGTGCTATCGGTATTATCAGTGTTATCGGTGTTATCGGTTGGAGGAGTGTCATCGCCGTATTTAATACACTGACCATTGAAACTGTATTTTCGATCACAACCGTCTCCACAATGTTCATCCGTGTCTGCAAATAAAAATTTATAGTTAACTAATAGAAATCGTATGATATGGTAAGAAACGTTACTAAGGTAAAATATTTACTTCCACAGAAACCACTGGCACTGCAACATGGTAATGTTTCGGGGCAGTCATGACCACCCTATTAAGTAACATATTATTATAAGATAATAAAAAGAATAATTTGAGTAAAGAAAATTATTTACAAAATTTGGACATCCTGATGATGGTGGAAGGGGTCCAACAGAATTTATGGAAACTGCGATTGTAAAATATAAAAGAAATTGTTATCATGACATTTTTTTATCACATGTATAGTACATAACATCAAATTGGTACATACAATAACTTGAGAACCCCATATGATCGGGGCTCTTTCCGACAATAACAGCATAATCACGTCCCGAAGTAAGATCACCGATAGTATAATTACATTGTCCGATTTCTGGATCAATATTTGAGCACAAAATCTTATCTAGTTGTAAATTCTGTGGATCACCATGTGTTAATTTTACATCAATACTTTTATCTGTTTCTGAGATGACAGACCATAATACACAAAGTATGTCGCCTTTGTTTAATACCACTCCTGCAGCTGGTGAACTAACTGAATAGTCCGCTGTACTGAAAGTTATGAAAGCAGTTATCAGGAAAGAAGAGAATGCAAGAAATAAACGCATTTTGATTTAACTGAAGTTTATTTAGAGTGAATATTGTAAAAATATTTAGCAAAAAAAAAAGCGAAAGTGAAATATCGAAAAAAAACGATTGAAAATTTTATGTATGTAAGTATTTATGTTCATTCTATTTAACAGCAACGATGATTTAAATATATTTACCTCATTTGATTCGTGTTATTCTTTGTGCATTATGCAAATTTGAGACGATGCAGGTAGCATAATTGATTTTTATTAACAAAGCTTTTCATATACGTATTTCATACATGAACATTATTTAATGCTGTGGCTGATGCAGGGATCGGCACGATTCTAAAGAAAAGTTTCATTACAAGGATTGCAAGTTTAAGTATTTATTTATTAATTTGTTAATCAATTTTTAATCAGAATAATTTTTTCTGTTCATCGTTGCTTATCATGCTGTTGTGTCAAGTAAAATACCAAAGTAATGCAAAAGTTGTTGATAGCCTAAGAATTTTGAAAACTTTTATAAAGAAAAAAAAAATGCTTGCAATGTGTAGAATAATTTTAAAACAAATATATGAGAAGCTTTTATTACAAAGGGAAATTCTATACTTTCAAATGTGGGATGAATACTAATAAAGCAAATTCTAGCATTAATAAGAGATCATTAGGCACTTGCCAAAACATTGAATCAAGTTTAAGTCAATCGGGCAAATGGTTGATTGATTGATGATTTAAAAATTTAAAAAATCATGAACAGAAAGAATTTTATTGGAAATTATTATGTAGTTTTTTTTACGTGTACAAATAATTTGTAAAATATTCAATGCAATTATTAAATTGTGCATATTTCGAAAATTGATGGTATAATCGAAATTTTCATTAAAAATATGACCAAACTTTTCAAGTATACATCTAAAGTGTAATTTCAGTAGATTTTAACATAATTTTCTTACTATTCACCAAAGAAAAAGAAGTATATATTTCTAATTTTGTAAACAGCACTTCAGAAAATTCAAACACTGCTACGTAACCTTTTTGGGGGATATTCATTCTCGCGTAATAACTCTCATGAACGTTATTCCGAATAATCGTATCAATTAACAAATAATGTACGTGACTTCAAAATAATACGCATGCATGCTTTATTAATATAAAACAGCCAATTACATAAGCGTCTTCCTATGTTGGACTATCAGTCTTTGTCTCAAAATAACACAATCAAATTTAAATAAACATTTTTCTACAGTACTTAATGGAATTTACAAAATAAGAAGCAAAACAAAGCGTGATAACATGACTGAAATTCTGATGATTGAGGTTTTACACTATTGAATAGTAAGTGTGTATCATGCGCAGGCATGATTGTGGCATTAACCATAGCTGCCACAACAAAATTGTCCCAGCAGTTCCTCGATATTGATTTGCTAACAGCGACTAAGGTAAATCGTCACCAAAAAAAGTTTCGAACATCACGTGACAAATACATCGAACACTAAAAATTCTTATAACTTAAAAAAATACAAACAAAAAAAATTTTGACTAACAAAGTAATCATGATAAGTAATAAATTAATCCTTTTTATTTATTTAAATAACTCAATAAATGTAATATTTATTATAGCCAGAAAGTATCATAATTACGGTTTTTCTAAGTATTTGGAATATTCCATTGCCTTTTAAAATGATTATAATCCTCCAATTTATGCAATGGCACAAAGTTTTATTAATACTATCAAGCCATTTGTTACTACTTGATTTTTTCAATAATTTTTTGTTGCTGCATCCTGGATTCAAATAAATTATCAGAATTATAATCTTACAGAAAAACATTAAAAATAAAATCTACAAGATTTTCTGGTTCAATTGCATTTTCTTATAATTTTATTTCAATTTTCATTCTTTTTTCGTTTATTGTTAATGGAAATTTGGTTACGGCAATCAACATATACTTTTAGAATAGTGTGTTTATTGGATTTTATGTTTTTAAAGACCGCTTTTCACTTTAAAGAATCGAATGAAAAAAATCACTTGCTAAATCAATTATGTTAATATTTTAATAATCTAATCATGATGAATTGACAATATCACATGTAGGGATTGGACCCGGGTAGAAATTGTTGCTATATGATTACCCGAAATACATAATAATTTATCCGGATAACACGGGTAATTTAATAATATCCGGGTAGAGATTTTCTCAACGGGTCCAATCTTTAATCGCATGATTTTCTAAACTTTTTTGGGTGACCGGTCGCTAATGGCCGTGGATCTGCAATTTTTTGGCCGCATTAACATAATTGTTTACTAATTTCTGGCTGGAATTAACCTTTTAACCTTTTCATTCCAAAAATAGTAATTTTCAAAGAAATAGGCCCTCAATTTTCACTTAATGGGCAGCTGTGTAATTCTGGCCAAAATTTTTAATCGTCGCTCTTAGCCAATCAAAATTGAGAATCTGCCGTGAAATTTTGTTGCGGCAGTGATTGTGGCATTTTTTTTAATTTGGCCTAGTAGATGTCACTAAATTTGAAGATCGTTCTACACGATTAAATTTGAATAAGACGTATACTGTTGTAATTTGTAACCATTGATTAAGACAACTACAAACTCGTCTCATTCTAATAATGTAATTTCGGCATGAAAACTCCAAATTTATAGAAATATGTGTATTCTTTGTTTACCAAAATGACGCCGTATTCTTTTGTTTACCAAAATTATGACGTATTATTTTTGTTTACCAAATGATTACATATTCATTGTTTACAAAAGGATTCTAAATTCCGGGTCGGCAATCGTTAACGTTAATTTCAGTAAGACCATGAAAAATCATCATAGTACAATCACCAGACCAGGCGTAACTGATTATGAACCACTTTCTGTGAAAAAATTCTGTGAAATTTTGGTATAAATTATATCGTAAATAGTGATCTTAACAATGTGATATTTTAGTACTTTAAAATATTGCGCATACGTATTCGATCTTTCATGGTTTCATTGGGACCAAATTCGAATGACACCGACTCTGAATTTCCTGGGTTTCGTGTATCGTTATTGAATTTTCCTAAAGTGTAAATATTAAAAAAGGTTCTTTCAATAACGCTGTATATGGATAACGGTCTTCTGATATAATTTTATAATATAGATTATATTTACATTTTTAAACAATACTATAGAGTACTCATTCGCTTAATTCATATTACGTGTAATCATGTAACTTACATGAAAGTTAGTCCTGGACTGTTTTCCTTGCAAATTTTGACAATGCGGTAGCTTTTGAGCTTTATCTTAATAGAGAAAACGTAATATTAACCTTTGTGAAATTAAGGATTATTTGAATAAAGGATTTCGGAGTTCATGTATTGAACTTCCTATTGTTATGGTGGTACTAAGAAAGCTAAAAATTTATATGTGTCACGTGAATTTTGCTTTACAAATTTGTTTAAGAACTACCTAAGAAAGAAATTTCCAACTGTAAGGCTTTTTGTTATATAAAGAGTTACAGCACACCTTAGATTTATAATTTACATACGGTATTGATGAAAATATTAAGCAAAAAAAGCAAAGAAAATTATGAATGAATATAGAAACGTATTATTAATTGGTCGCACAGGCCAAGGCAAGTCTTCCTTAGCAAATATAATAATAAATGATGAGAAAAATTTCAATGAAGAGGGAAAATTTGATGAAGTTTTTAAAAAGGGTAATGGAACTCTTAGTCAGACTAAGAAGACTCAATCGGAAAAGATTACATTAAAAATAGGAGTAGGTGGAGAAATAAAGGATGTAAATTACCGAATAATTGACACTGTGGGAATTGATGACACAACATTAAGTAAAAAGGATGTGTTAATTGAGATAGCTATAGCATGTAAAAAAGTCAGGAAAGGGATAAATCAAATTTTATTTGTATGTGGAGAAAATTTAACTCCACAGGAAATTGATGCTTATAACATAATAAGAAGAGTTCTCTTTGATGAGAAACTTGATAAAGACATTACTAAATATATTACAATTATTCGAACAAGATTTGATAATTTTGGTGATGAAGATTCATGTAAGAATGACATTCAATTATTGATTGAAAATGAAAATAAAGCAATTGTCGAAATGATCCAATCATGCAGTGAAAGAGTTGTTCATATAAATAATCCACCAATAAATATGAAAGGAAAAGAAGAAATGATACAAGAGCAAATTAATCTCAATAAGAAAATCTGTAAGAATGCTAGAAAGAGAGTAATAGGTCATTTAGTGACTTGTGAAGACGTTTACAAGCCAGAGAGTTTGGATGAGATAAACGAAAGAATTGGCCGCTTATTGAGTGAAAACAAGGTGTTGCAAGAACAATTAGATGAACTGCAAGAAAAATATAATACATTACAAGAACAATTAAATAGATTAAGTGGTGCAGACGAAAGATCAAAGGAAATAAGTTTTACTCAAGATGTGTTTGATGAAATTGAAAGAAGAATGAAAGAAAATAAACTAAAAAAGCAAATGGATGAAATGATGAAGAAAATAGATGAAATAAAAACATCGATGCACGAAAATGAGAATTCTATAGAAATAGGTTTTTTTGTGGCCATTGGGAGAGGTTTAGATAAGCTAACTGAAATGGTGATAGGATTAGCAGGAAAAGCATTAGAAAGTAATAGATGTCCAATTTTGTAAATGATCAAGTCAAAAAGGATAAATTTCTTTTCCATTCCAACCGAGGCTACAATGTGTCGTATATTTTTAATCACTGGATGTTTAGAGAATGTTTAGTTGCCTAATTGTCATTATTACTTTGGCTATTAAAAAGCTCACCGGAGTCAGTCTTTTGAGTTAACTTTAAACTTGAAGAGACAGAGTTCCGATAAACACATGCAAGTTTGATCCTGCATTAGTATTGGCTTGAATATCATTGGTTAAATTATACAGTGATAGCCAAAAATGTTATTTGACAAACAATATAACTTTATATTAAGGTTCAACTTCTGGAGCCGAGTCAAACTGAACTAGACTCATATTCCTGCTCTCATGCTATTTACCGAT